AACAAAGAATGTAAAAACAAGAGTGTGTGTGTGTGTGTGTGTGTGTGTGTGTGTGTGTGTGTGTGTGTGTGTGTGTGTGTGTGTGTGAGAGTGTGTGTGTGTGTGAATGTGTGTGTGTGTGTGTGTGTGTGTGGTCTAGCATTACTATACTTGTGGGGACCTAAATCTGTTTACATAGTCACGTGTGGGGACTGGCTTCCCTTATGGGGACAAATTGGAGGTCCCCATAAGGGGAATCATTAATTTTAGGGTGAAGACTTGGTTAGGTTTAGGATTAGGGTTAGGGTTAGGTTAAGGTTTAGGATTAGGGTTAGGGTAAAGTTAAGGGTTAGGTTTAGGGTTAGGGTTAGGCATGTGTTGGTTATTATGGTTAAGGTTAGGATAAGTCTCCAGGAAATGCATGTAAGTCAATGTAATGTCCCCTGAAGTGATGTATACATGGTATATGTGTGTGTGTGTGTGTGTGTGTGTGTGTGTGTGTGTGGTCTAGCATTACTATACTTGTGGGGACCTAAATCTGTTTACATAGTCACGTGTGGGGACTGGCTTCCCTTATGGGGACAAATTGGAGGTCCCCATAAGGGGAATCATTAATTTTAGGGTGAAGACTTGGTTAGGATTAGGTTTAGGGTTAGGGTTAGGGTTAGGTTAAGGGTAAGGGTTAGGGTTAGGCATGTGTTGGTTATGGTTAAGGTTAGGATAAGTCTCCAGGAAATGCATGTAAGTCAATGTAATGTCCCCTGAAGTGATGTATACATGGTGTGTGTGTGTGTGTGTGTGTGTGTGTGTGTGTGCGTGTGTGTGTGTGTGTGTGTGCGTGTGTGTGTGTGTGTGTGTGTGACACACTGTCTTTACCTTTTGTTACCCTATGAAGTCGCCAGGTTCAGATTCTGAAAGTGAGAGACATGTTTAGATTGAATTAAAATGTAATTACAACTGTTAACCTGAAACTCTTCACTGCTACATCATATAAGGGCACCACAACCTCCATGACATTTTAAATAAATTGATTACTGACATCTAGTGGACATTTAATGCAACAACACCTACTTAGAATATAACATCAGGATTTCTCAGGTTTTCTAATTATGTTTCTCTTGAAAAACATGGAGACATGAAACTATAAACACTTGCATATGCCCTACACTAAATGTAAAGACTCCTTGTTCATTTATATTTGGATCAGCCATGTCTATTAATACATTACATTGAGGTTTCACCTGGCAAACACTATTGTTGCTTCATGACTTGCAAAGTGAAAAGAGAACAGCAACAAATTGCATAAAGGGCTTAATATATTCAAAAAGTCAAATGTTTTTCCGTGTGCAAATATAAACGTTAAAATACGTAATTTTTTCATGAATTATCATAAAGGGTAGATTGATTCATTTTCTATCAAAAGACAAAAGTGTCTACATACATCATTGATCCAGCAGTAATTCTTAACACTACTGTAAAAAATAATATGTCGATTAATCGGTTAACAGAAAGTTGTTGTTTAGCTACAAATGCCAAACATCTCCAGCTTCTACAATATTCATGTTGAAGATGTTCCCACGTTTTCTATAATGTTATGGAGCAGATAAATCAAGTAGCCTATATAACCAGCAGATAATGTTAGCTAACAAAGCAAATAACCTCTGGTTAGAGAGCCTTATACTAAAAGCAGGCTTAATAATAATATTTTAACAGTGAGAGTAAATCCAAAAATTGACATTATATCTAAGATATAAATTGATTTGCATTTAACCGTGGGAAATAAGTATTTGATCCCCTTGCAAGTGGGTAAACTTACAAAATCGTGATGAACAATCCAGAATATGATTTATATTTTAGATTCTTCAAAGTAGCCCCCTTTTGCCTTGATGACAGCTTTGCACACTCTTGGCTTCTCTCAGCTTCATGAGGTCGTCACCTGGAATGGTTTTCCAACCGTCTTGAAGGACTTCCCAGAGGTTGGCTGCTTTTCCTTCACTCTGCGGCCCAACTGATGGTGGAGGCCAGGTCATCTGACGCAGCACTCACTTTCCTTCTTAGTCAAATAGCCCTCACACAGTCTGGAGGTGTGTCTGGGGTCATTGTGTTGTTGAAAAACTAATTATGGTCCCAGTAAACGCAGACCAGATGGGATGGCATAGCGCTGAAGAATGCTGTGGTAGCCATGCTGGTTAAGTGTGCCTTGAATTCTGAATAAATCACCAACAGTGACACCAGCAAAGCCCCCCCCACACCATCACACCTCCTCCTCCATGCTTCACGTGGGAACCACACATGCAGAAACCATTCGCTCGCCCTCTCTGCGTCTCACAAAGACACGGAGGTTGGAACCAAAAATCTCAAATTCGGACTCATCAGACCAAAGTAGAGATTTCCACTGTCTGATGTCCATTCCTTGTGTTTCTTGGCCCAGACAATTATCTTCTTCTTGTTGTTGATCCTCAGTAGTGGATCTTTGCAGCAGTTGGACCATGAAGGTCTGTTTCACGCAGTCTCCTCGTGTTCGATTGTTTTTGCGACTGCACTTAAGGATACATTCAAAGTTCTTGAAATTATCCCGATCGACTGGCCTTCATTTCTTAGTAATGAAAGTAAGTAAGGATGGACGGTCGTTTATCTTTACTGAGTTGAGTGGTTCTTGCCATAATATGGATTACAACAGTAGTCAGATAGGCTTTCCACTGTGCACTAACCCTACCTCTGCACAACACAACTGATGGTCTCAAACACATTAAGAAGGCAAGTGTTTCCACAAATTGACTCTTGACAAGGCACACGTGTTAATTGAAAACCATTCCAGGTGACGACATCATGAAGCTGACAGGGGTGTGCCAAGAGTGTGTGAAGCTTTCATCAAGGCAAAAGGGGGCTACTTTGAAGAATCTAAAATATATAGGTCACCCAAGAAATGAGCCCACTTACCTTCAGAAGATTCTTTCAAGTGTACCCAGGAATGAGAAGCCTTATGTCGTCACACTTTGTCGGTAATTTAACTGACACAGCTGTCCCACTGCAGAAAATTTGATTTCTTTGCATTTTCATCTTTAAAATATAATTCAAGAGAAGGATGTATCTGTTTATATCAGCCAAATATCAAAAGTGACTAGTACTTTTAACATCATTTCCAACTTACCTTTTTTAATGGTTGGTGAAATGCAGTTTTCTATCTGCCTTCAAATGTGCTTAAAACTAAAAAATACTGAGGTTGAACATGCAGTCAAGATAAAGTAGAAGCTCTTGGAGGAATGACTAAATAGGATGCACAGCGTTTTAAACAAAATAAAATAATTATAAAAGCCAAGTTACACAACAGGTATCTGCCATTTGCGGGCATGCAAGTAGGCAATGGTTCATGATGAGCCACTGATATCGATTGTGTACTGGACAGTATGTTATTCTGAGGCAATACAAAAATAATGAGGTACCATTGCCATGTAATAAGGAGAAAGCTAAACATGAATCTGGTTGGAGAAAAACAAAGAAAGAAAGACATTTGTTCTCTGACTCTTAATTACTCATTATTTTACTGAGATTTAAAAGCCATGCAAATATTTAAAAACTGCCGATCACACAATTGCCACTTTTAAAAGTTAATACAGATGGCATTGTCTTATCAAATTGTAGACTTGACCAAATAAGCTTCTAAAAATAGAGCTGTCGACCAAAGCACTGTTTTCTATTAGCCTCCAAGACTTAAATAAATACCATGATTTTTATTTATTACTTACTTTAACTTTAAAGTACTTCCAGGACATTGTCTTTGTTGTGGAATATTTTCCAAGGCCCATAACTTTGACCCAGTGTACCAGTTCAAACTGTCCTGACTGAGCACAGGCACCTGTAACCTTGGCTGCTGTGCTCTCAGTGTTTTGTCTCCCTGTTCCTGCCTGTTGGCGTCAGCTGATAGAGGTGTTATCATTCTATCTTGTTATGCAGCATGTTGATGATGCTCTCTGAACTAGCTAAATACATGGGTCTGGGGTAGAGTTCTTCAGAATTGACGTGGCAACTCTACCGTGAAGTCAGAACCTCTGACTCTTGGACTTGTGATGTGAATCCTCCGGCCGTTAACTCCAAATAAACCATCATGTGTTTGACATCAAAGCTACTGCTCTTCCCGTGTCTCCTTCCTGAGTCGGTGACTCCCACTGCATAGCTACACAGAAGTTTCCTCTACAGTCTTGACCCCCTATGTAACCATATTATGTTGGACTGTGTGTTTTAAGCTGCATAGTACCAGTAGTGCAAAGTAACTAAGTACATTTACTCAAGTATTGTACTTACTATTATGACATATTTGTATTTAACTTTACCATTTAATGTTACTTTATACTCCAATCCACTACATCTAAGAGGCAAATATTGCACTTTTTTACTTCACTATATTTCTATTAAAAGTTACTTTTTTACAGATAGTCACACATGATATGCTGATATGGTATAATGCAATACTGTACCACCAATCTACACAGTATATCTAAATTGGTCCACATTGACAAACTATAATCCTAATATGCTCTTATTATATGTATTAAAACAGATCAATATAATGAACATAATAATATAAGATCCGATAAGATTCTGCACTTTTTCTTTTGATACTTATACACATAGCTGGTGATACTTGTGTTCTTTATATTATTCTGAAATGGGCCATTGAGCAGATTTACCCAAGTTTTTCATTGCACAACTACAGTGTATTGTTTATGACATTAAACCTTTGAAATCTTGATATGCATATACGGCATTATGCAGTGCTGTAGTACCAATATACACAGTATCTAATCTCGTCCACATTGACAAACTATAATCCTAAAATGCTTTTATATGTATAAAAACAGATACATGTAATGAACATAATAATATAAGATCCATTCTGCAACAAGGACTCTAACTTTTAATACTTGAAGTGCACTTAGCTGGTAATACTTATGTTCTTTATTCTGAAATGGGCCATAGGGCAGCATGAGTAATAAGACTACCAATGACAGTCACACCCAGCACCAAATAGCAGTGGCATACCTTAGGCATTCCCAGCAGGGTGACTCTCCTACATTGTGCTGACAGCTGACCTGTGTTGTGGGGAAGTCAGGAGAGTTTCCAGCCTGTCTGCAGTTACTCTCACTTATCAAACACAACAGTGAAATAAAGAGCTTTTCTCCAATCTAATCCTGCTGGACTTCGAGCACTGACTGTGGGCGTTTCTTTACAATGTGGGGCATTTGCTGCAGAACTATGGTAAGTAAGGCACTTTTCGCTGAGTAGGTTTATTGACATTGGTCTTAAGCCAACACGAGACTCTGATATTAATATTAGTCATTATTGAAGTTAAGAACATTAATGGTTGTGGTGTGTTGTGCTAATTGGCTAACGCTGATTAACGGCAGACGTTAACATGAATGTGTGCTAGCTGTTAGTAGATAACAGGAGTGTGTGCTAACAGCTAGCACACATACATGTGTGCAAGCTGTTAGCAGGGGAAATGAACCTGTGCTAGCTGTTAGCAGTTCAAATGAATGTGTGCTAGCTGTTAGCACGTAACATGAATGTGTGCAAGCTGTTAGCAGGGGAAATGAACCTGTGCTAGCTGTTAGCAGGTAATATGAATGTGTGCTAGGCTAGCTGATAGTAGGTAATGCTAGTTAACCTTTAGCTAAGCTAAATGGGTGAAAGGTGAATTATGTTTAGCTAAGAAACAATATAGCTTTAGCCAAAAGACTCTGAAGCACAAGCTTGACTGAAAATACACTTCACTTCTGGTCCAACGTTAAGTCAACGTATAGTGAATTAAATACAGAAATGTAGATGGGAAAGAAGATAACATAAAGTTAGGTCAGCATAAGACTTATCTCGCTATTCGGCAAACTCACTGGAATAAAATATCTGAAGAACATTAAGTACGTACATTTAATGTATTCAGTTAAGCCAGTTAATAGGATAACAGAAACTTAATCTGAATACTTTTGACATTTATTTTACCAATTTATTTTTACCCCTACCGGTACCTCGTTATAACTGCAACCAACAACTATTCTTTAGATATGGTCACAATTTATCAGAAAAGTATATTTGTTCAAGTTGTGTACTGACTTGTACTCCACTACATGTATTTAAACACTCACAGCTACTTTGTACATGTAAAGTAACATGATATGCTGATATGATATAATGCAGTATACTGTATCTACACAGTATTTCTAGTATCTAAATGTGTCCAAACTCATGAACAATAAATGCTTTTACATGTATAAATAACACGAACACATAATAACCTAATTATTATAATACTATGATAAAATCCATTTTGCAGCAGCATAAAAAACAAGGACATAAGACAAATTAAGATACAAGAAATAAACAGTCCAAAATATTTCTGAAATAGAAACAAAATGGCATAAAAAAGTAAAATAAATATACATGTGGAAATACAAGTAAGTTAACTCAGCATATTTTAGTCATGTCGGTTTATTTAGCATTATTAAAAGACAGTTGACTAGGGAAATGATGACCACACACTTTCACAAAGTAACACCACAAACATTTATTAAACATACACTGCTTTGTCTTCCTGTGAAGGTGGGGAGGGCGAAACCCTGCGGCCTCATGAAGCTCCGTCACCTGGTGAAGCCGGTGTCTTTGACTCGAGTCTCCGGCAGATACCTGACGCACCAGAAGGGCCTGCCCACGCTGCCGGTGCCCCCCCTGCAGCAGACCTGCGAGCGCTACATCTCAGCTCTGGAGCCCATCATGGAGCTGGATGAGCTGAAGCACACCAAAGAGCTGGTGGACGAGTTCCAGAAAGCAGGAGGGCTGGGAGAGAGACTTCAGAAAAGTCTGGAAAAGAGAGCACAGAACACCGAGAACTGGGTGAGACTTGTGTGGGAAATTTGTATTATTATTATTATTTTTAAATGTATTCTACTATTTCAACAATTAGACAGTTTATACATCCGAAAAATAAAAATAAATGAGTAGAAGCGGGAGGGCAGAAAGCAAGGCTTATACAGAGGATTGCAGGATAAAGAAATAAAAGATAATTCCTTAATTAAATACTCACACAGATAAACAAAATTATATATATACATACACTATTTTTAAGTTAATCCAAATTGACTTGAGATGCGTTGCCCTGACACGACCTGTTAGGATTTTGTTCTTTGCCTAATCAATGTATTTGAAAACCCCTCGGACATTTCACCGATTTCCTTTTCATAAAGTGTATTATTGATCTGTTATTGGCTCTGTTTCTCTCTGTCTTTGTAGTTGTCACAATGGTGGGTGCAGATTGCTTATCTGGACTACCGGTTGCCTGTGGTGGTGCATTCAAGTCCCGGGTTGGTCTTGCCCCGCATGAACTTCAGAGATAAACAGGGACAAATAAGGTATCACATGTCCTCTCAGTTTATATCCAACCCATTTACAGACAGGTGGCAGAGATGCATTCTTGTGTTACTCTGAAACAATGAAAGCATACATTATGATTATCTGATTTAGATGCATACTGGTATATTTTAACCATAAACACGAATGGTTTGGTCATTTAATAATCACTTCTGAACTATTGAATAACATCATGTTCTCTCTGCTTAGGTTTGCTTCCAAACTGATAGCAGGTGTTCTGGACTTTAAGACAATGATTGACAAGTGAGTACCGTGTTCATAATATCCTCCTTGTGGACTCCTGCTTATTTTGTCCTATTAATGGGTTTGTCTCCTAGCCTCCTTTTGCTTTTGTTGCCTATAATAAGAACAAGTAAACAACTGTGTTCTTATTGGGTCACGCAGTCTACCATACCTTCTTAAATAAACTTCCACAGTATAAAAATGCAGCTTATTACATTAACAATTGTCACAAATCATCACTGAGCCAGCTGTTGTTCTGGAACAGGTCTTTTCTATCTTGTATTTTCATTTAGCTGTAACTCCATCATTTACAATGTTGTTATTTGTTTGAATCTGTAAAGCCCACTGAGACAAATGTGTTTTGTGATATTGGGCTATACAAATAAAGATTGATTTGATTTGATTCTCCCAATTTAGTGGAGAGTCTATTGATAACATCATTTGGAATAATACGCTTTTTTCACATGAGTGAACCCACGTTTTGAAACACCGTAGAGCTTTGAATATTGTAACTAATCAGCTGAGTCATGAATATTTCTTGCAGTGAGACCCTGCCAGTTGAATTTATGGGAGCGAAGCCCCTGTGTATGAATCAGTACTACAAGGTGCTGTCGTCCTGCCGTATCCCAGGCCTGAAGAGCGACTCGGTGGTGAACCATGCTAAAAGCTCCAGACCCCCGACACACATAACTGTAGTGCACAACCATCAGGTGAGTGAACACTGGTTGTAGGAGCCATATGTTAAAATGTATAATTTGATATATTGTGTGTGTATATAGATATATTTGAACATTGTAATCCTTTGTTATTTGTATTATTATTATATCATTTATTTAAACCAGCCGTTGTAAAATTGACGTCATAGCCGACTGAAGGAGAAAAGAATCTCGGAGCAATTAAGTTTTTTGACCTTTGAAAATATGTGTTTGTACTGATATATTTTGTTTAAGTAAAGAGTCAACCAAACTTTCCGGAGACGTATTTTTGTTGGAGTCAAGCTTATTGCTACTTGTGGATACATACATTTTTGGATTAGACGGAACTACACTGGTCAACGTTGCACATTTTTTTAAAGGTCCCATGTCATGCTTTCCGGTTATTACCCGTCCCCTTGTGTGTTATGAAGGTTGTTCTGCATGTAAACGGTCTGCAGAGTCACAAACCCTCAAAGTACACCCTGTAGGGAGTAAAACTCTAACACAGAGAAGACCTGTCTGTGCTGCCCCAGAACGCCTCGTTGAAGATTTCTCTTTTTCTTCCTGGGTACAGTGACATGCCCATACCCAAATGGACCAATCCAAGGAGCCGTTACGTTAAGTCCGTGGATTGGTCAATTTGGACCAATCCGCGGACTTCCTCACAAACACACACACTCTCAATCTTTTCTCAGCTGCAGCTCCGCCGATTTCTCCTCCCTGAGACGGCGGGACGCGGCGAGGCTGTGAGTCGGTGTGTGAGCACACACACAAACTCACAGCCAGGCTGCGGGTGTATGTGTGTTTCGGGCTGGGTTTCGCTGTGTCTCGCTGTCTCGCAGACGGCCACTGGGCTCATAGGGAGGGAGGGGGGGGCAGGAGCTCCAACAAGCCGTTCAGGACAGAGAGTGAATACACATACTTTACAGAGATGCTGTGAGAAACCAATATGAGTTTGGAACATTGAACAATGTAAATCTATTCTAGTAGACCTCAACAATGGAGTTATGATCAGTAGAAATGGCCATGACATGGGACCTTTAAGCTCTTCCGGTACCAGGGGCCTAATTATCACAGATAAAGAAAAGGATGCTCTGGAAACAGTATAACGTAGAGGTGCAGTTAGAGATTATAAATTGGACAGCAGTGTCACAGAAATGCTCAAACGGTTTAACGAGTTCTCTTCTTCAAGATTGTCCATAACGTCTCAGGCCTTGATGCATCAATATACCCTAAAGCCTCTTAGAACGATGACCCGCAAAGCTAACTCCTTGAACTTCCAGAGAATATCTGTTAGTCGATAATAAGACACACTTTCGTCTTAGCACGACACTTTATTTCAGCACACGGCCATCTTCGGATAACACATACAACACGTAACTCCCACGTAACACTTGACAACATCCGGTAACACTTCCGGACGGTTCTTCACAATAAAACTCAAAGTGAGCACATCAAACATACACAGAAATAGTGCATGTAAATTAACAATATCCACATCGAGTGACACTCTGAAATACTCACTGTTTCCAAGAACAATCAGAGAGTGGAACATGCTCAATAGAGATTCAGCGGGGAATCTTCATCCCCCACTGAGCGCGATACCTCTGGGTTTTGCTCAGTAGTAATCCAGATCACATTAGAAGGGCTCTTTGAGTAACCTGGCTTCACACGGTCTTACACTATTACGACTGTCGCCTTCCTGGTCGTTTTAACTGTGTTAACTTGTGTTATATGCAAATGAGCTGTGTGGTTGCCCTGACGTCATTGGCTGCCATCTCCTGGTCCGCCTCCTGAAGATTGTGATTGTTTTTAGAGTCCTCCTTTTTGTTTGGTTACTTATCAACCTGTGCCCTTTTAGCTACTTCCATTTTGTTACTTGCTATTTAAAATAAACCCATTATACCAATTCCAACTGGTGTGTGTTGCATTTCCTCATCTCTAGTGGGGACGTTGCACTAATGCTCTAGAAAAGTCAACAAGCACTGTAGAGTTCAGTCGTCCAGATAGAGTAAAATAATGATTGTGTACACCGATAAAGACAAGGATTCTCTGGAGACATATGACGAAGAGGTGCAAGATTCACCTTTGGAGATTATAGGTCCTATCCCCAGAGACACCAGGGGGTAGGACCAGTACACCTGTAGGAAACTGATACGGGCTTGCACACACACTGCACAGAATCCAGCTGTTATTTTGTCTTTTAACTTGGACTTGTTAAAACGTTGATCAGCTGATGACATTTGCCAGCACAGTCACTCTTCTGTCAATTTGACAATTGTTAACTAAATATGAGAAGCCTGACTGAGTCTTTCCATTGGCCTAATTATCACAGATAAAGACAAGGATGCTCTGGAAACAGTATTAATCCAGATCACAAGTCAAATTTAGAATGGCTCTTTGAGTAACCTGGCTTCACTGGGTCTTACATTAATGCTCTAGAAAAGTCAACAAGCACAGTAGAGTTCAGTCGTCCAGATTGAGTAAAATTATGATGATTGTGTGCTTACTATGTGAGAAGCCTGACTGAGCCTTTCCTGTCTTCCCTCCACATGCCCTCAGTTCTTTGTGTTGGAGGTGTACAACAGTGATGGCACTCCACTGACAGCGGATCAGTTCTGTGTTCAGCTGGACAGGATCTGCAGCTCCTCCTCTCAAACAAACATGGAGCCCGTGGGCATCCTCACCACGCAGCATCGAGACTCCTGGGGCAAGGCCTACGTCAACCTCAACAAGGGTGAGATAACACTCCTGTTTGAGCCAGTATTTCGTTTTTATAAGAAAGGCCACCTAATCGTGACGTCTGTAGTCAACCAGAGCATAAAAGACTACAATTCCCACGGCAGTGATGGGCAACCTCTTAAAGACACCGTCGAAGCACAGTTTTTTACCGTTCAATTTTCCTTTGAGTTATCAAGTTATATAAGCCTTATCAAAGCAAGAAAGAAAGCAAGAAAGAATACCTAAGTTGTTTATTTTATTTTGAGCATTGCACAATCATCCCATTAACGGAGGCCAAGCAACTTATCAACTGTGAGTAGACTGTGAGAGACGAATATAAAGGAAAGAATATGTTAGAAAAATATCACTCGTCACCGGCTTGAGCTTCAATCTCAGGATCCATGTGTTTGTGATCCTCTCCTGAATGGAAGTAGTCATCACATACAGAGCATCAGCTAGTTCCTGAACAGTCTGTTTCTCAAAACTCTGATTTTTTCCCCCAAAAATTCGGACTAAAAATCTAAAAATTCTGTCTTTTTTCTCAAATTCTAAAAATTATGTCTTTTTTCGAAAAATCTGAAAAAATTCTGACTTTTTCTCAAAATTCTGATTTTTTTTTCCCAAAATCTACAAATTCTGACTTTTTTCTCAAAATTATGATATTTTTCCCCCAAAATCTACTAATTCGGACTTTTTTCTCAAAATTATGAATTATTTCAAAAAATCTCAAAATACTGTCTTTTTTCTCAAATTCTAAAAATTATGTATTTTTTCGAAAAATCTCAAAATTCTGACTTTACTCAAAATCTCAAACAGTGTCCTTCACATGCTGATATCAAGAGAGGGAGTTACACAGTCACAAGATGGAGGAGTAGAAAGCAGTATTCAATGTTTACTTCAGATTAGCTCCACGTCAGAAATGAGCATGCTTGATGTCTCTCTCCATAGAGGCTGAATCATCATGTTAATCACATAGCTATCATCTGCCTCAAACAGTCCTGATGCTCTTCTAGGTAATCACACATCCTGTCATGTTCACAGCTACAGTTGATACCTTTGTCATCATGTTACTCTCATGTTGGAAGAGGACATTCAGTATTTTCCCAACAGAAAAAAAGTTTAAAATGTCTGTTGAAGGCGTCTAGTGGCTTGATAGAAAACAAGGAAGGAAGCCACGATAACTGCCATGATATCAGTGACGTGAAGTCTTCTCCGATAGCAGAAGAAAACAATGAGTCTCATGTTTGCGGGTTATCTGACATGTCTAGATAAGACCAACAAAAAGTCGGTGTGGGCCATCCAGAGGAGCATCTTCACTCTGTGTTTGGACGGAGCCATGCCTCAGGTTTCTGATGAGACGTACCGCAGCTCTGCCGCCGTCCAGATGCTGCACGGAGGAGGCAGCCAGTGGAACAGTGGCAACCGCTGGTTCGACAAGACGCTCCAGGTGACACACACACACACACACACACACACACACACACACACACACACACACACACCATGTATACATCACTTCAGGGGACATTACATTGACTTACATGCATTTCATGGAGACTTATCCTAACCATAACCAACACATGCCTAACCCTAACCCTTACCCTTAACCTTACCCTTAACCAAGTCTTCACCCTAAAATTAATGATTCCCCTCATGGGGACCTCCAATTTGTCCCCATAAGGGAAGCCAGTCCCCACATGTGACTATGTTAACAGATTTAGGTCCCCACAAGTATAGTAATGCTAGACCACACACACACACACACACACACACACACACACACACACACACACACACACACACACACACACACACACACACACAGTAGTAAATTGCACTGTTGGAAGAAGTACTCGGATCCTTTACTTAAGTTAAATTTACAAATACTATGGTCTTAAATGTGTCCTTTACTAGTAAGTAAAAGTCCTGATTTCAAAATGTAAAAGTACAAAAGCATTAAGATCAAAAGTTACTTATTACAAAGAGTAAAAGTACTCATTCTGCACAATGGCCCATTTCAGAGTAATAAAGTATTAGACACACACACACACACACACACACACACACACACACACACACACACACACACACACACACACACACAGTAGTAAATTGCCGTATTGGAAGAAGTACTCCGATACCCCTGTGTAAACTCAACACTTGATTTTGAGCAGAAGGACTTGCCTGGCTCTAACAGAATTGATAAGCTAAGATGATTGAATGCCAATGTTTTACACGTTCTGTGTCTGTTCTTCCTCTCAGTTTATTATTGGAGAAGACGGGACATGTGGTGCGAACTATGAGCACGCCCCAGCTGAGGGCCCGCCGATAGTGGCCCTGATCGACCATGTTGTGGAATACACGTAAGTAGGTCTAAGATCGTTTGTATCTATTCTTGTTGTAGGAAGTTCAGCAACAAGTAAGAGAGCAGGACGGAGAGGAAATGTTTTCCCCTTACTGTCCACTCGTGTGAATCAACATGGATCCCAGTTAGTTACGAAACTGTATGAATAAATAATAACCAATGAAATATATGGATTACACACATATACACATCTACTTCTGTGCATATCATCATTCAAACATGTTGATTACAAATAAACCTGCTTGAAAAATCACTTACCCAACTAAACTTACTGTGTGGAGATTTGGGGAAACACGTATGTTACGTTCCCAATTGGGCTAGGAGGACCAAAAGGACACGACACGACCAGATTGGAATTGGTATACGTTACCGGTGGTTTAATTGTTACTGCAAGTAAGTAAAATGATGTAGGCTACACAAACAGCTTGGCCCAACAACGGGTCAAGCTGTCACTATCCAACAAAAGGGGTCTCTAAAAGAGAGTTGCCCCGCTATACAAAAGGAAAGAAAATCTCACTGTGGAAGAACACAGCTGGTGCGGGTCTACAGGTGCTAACCACCTGGATCTACGCAATCCACACAAGAATGCTGATCTACAGGCGCTGATCACCTGGGTCTAAGCAATACTCACAAGAATGCTGATCTACAGGCGCTAATCACCTGGGTCTAAGCAATCCACACAAGAATGCTGATCTACAGGCGCTGATCACCTGGGTCTAAGCAATACACACAAGAATGCTGATCTACAGGCGCTGATCACCTGGGTCTAAGCAATACACACAAGAATGCTGATCTACAGGCGCTAACCACCTGGGTCTAAGCAATACTCACAAGAATGCTGATCTACAGGCGCTAATCACCTGGGTCTAAGCAATACTCACAAGAATGCTGATCTACAGGCGCTGATCACCTGGGTCTAAGCAATACTCACAAGAATGCTGATCTACAGGCGCTAACCACCTGGGTCTAAGCAATACTCACAAGAATGCTGATCTACAGGCGCTGATCACCTGGGTCTAAGCAATACACACAAGAATGCTGATCTACAGGCGCTGATCACCTGGGTCTAAGCAATACTCACAAGAATGCTGATCTACAGGCGCTAACCACCTGGGTCTAAGCAATACACACAAGAATGCTGATCTACAGGCGCTGATCACCTGGGTCTAAGCAATACACACAAGAATGCTGATCTACAGGCGCTAACCACCTGGGTCTAAGCAATACACACAAGAATGCTGATCTACAGGCGCTAACCACCTGGGTCTAAGCAATACACACAAGAATGCTGATCTACAGGCGCTAACCACCTGGGTCTAAGCAATACACACAAGAATGCTGATCTACAGGCGCTAACCACCTGGGTAACACACTGCTAACAGAATCACAGAACGAAGGCTTTGTCACAATGAGAGGGTTGAGGCATCTGTCACACAATACAGAGCCTCCCGAATGGTGTCCGTGCCCAGCCTTTATACTCCTCCCCCGGATGACGTGGCAGAAGCGAGCAGGGATAGGGTGACGTCTGTCCAATCCCCGCGGATGTTGAGAGGTCGGGACGGCCAATGATAGCAGAGGAACTGCACAGCTCATTTACATCTACACACAACCAGAGTTAAGGGCACAAGGTAGCAGCGGCTGTAACAACGTACAAAACCAACCTACAGCCGTTATGCACATTACAGAAAAGGGCTATAAGAGTTATCAATAATGTTGGATATCTTGAACACACTAATGGATTATTTTTGAAGTCACACATATTGAAGTTCATTGATCTGGTTACATTTAAAACGGCACAAATCATGTACAGAGCCAGACATAATCTACTTCCTAGGACATTAAAAACATTGTTCGTAGACGGAGAGGGTGGTTATAATTTGAGAGGAAATCTACATTTGAAACTCAAGGTCAGAACAACTCTGAGAAGTATGAGTTTAACAATCTGTGGGGTGATTTTATGGAATGGTTTGGAGCAGGAGTTAAAACAAAGCACAAGCTTAATTCAGTTTAAAAGGATGTACAGAAACACTTTTTGGGAAAACTATGAGAATGAAGAAAGTGATTGAAGATGAGAAATTATTGTATATGTATAAATGTATGTAGGAATAACTTGCATAATGATTTAAAGGACAATCATTGATCAAGTAAGGGGTGGGAATTAATAAGCATTTGCTTCCTCCTGCTCCCTTTCGGACACATATGATTTATTATTAATATGAAGACATTTTTAGTTTTTTTGTTGAATATACAAATATTACCATGAATGTGGATAAATACTTTATTATAACAATACGGTATTCTGTTTTTCACATTTGTTATTCTTTTAATCTGTTCGAAATAAAGACTGAAAGAAAAACATAGTGAACGTTTGACTTCCTTTGGTCGTGTTTTCACGTTGAATTCATAGTTCTCCTTTTTGGTTTAACATATTAATGAAAGTTCAAACGGAGAAGCACTCCGGCAATATATCGCATGAGATGGAAAATGCTTAGTACGCACGTTAATTGACATCATGTGCATTCGTCCATCATGAGTTGCTTTCCCAAATGGAGTAATGGCACTTTAAATATAGCAGCTGCAAGGAATTGTGGGAGTCTCCTTCCCCTTGGTAAAGGATGGTCCGATGTATCCTATGGTAAAGGAGATACTGAAGGAAGCTCCTTTTATTTCCTTCTACAGAGTTGAAATAGCTCTAATCGTGGCTGACACTTATAAGTACTCATATCACTCAGTTAGGAACCGTCCTAAGCAAAAAGCACTATTTGACTGCAACCTTATTTAGTTTTTATTCCATTTTGATGATCGTTTTTGTTTGTGCTAATAGGAGGAAGCCAGACCTGGTGCGGACTCCCATGGTGCCTTTGCCCATGCCCCAAAAACTGCACTTCAACATCACGCCTGAGATCAAGAAGGACATCGAGGAGGCCAAGCACGCCATGGACATGTGAGGGATTACTTTACTAACACACACACACACACACACACACACACACACACACACACACACACACACACACACACACACACACACACACACACACACACACACACACACACAGTAGTACATTGCAGTATTGGAAGCAGTACTCAAGTAGTTTACTTAAGTAAAACTACAAATACTATGGTCTGGTTTGACAAGACGCTTCAGGTGACACACACACACACACACACACACACACACACACACACACACACACACACACAGTAAATTGCAGTATTGGAAGAAGTACTCAGAGCCTTTACTTAAGTTAAATTTACAAATACAATGGTCTTAAATGTGTCCTTTACTAGTAAGTAAAAGTCCTGATTTCAAAATGTAAAAGTACCAAAGTATTAAGATCAAAAGTTACTTATTACAAAGAGTAAAAGTACTCATTCTGCACAATGGCCCATTTCAGAATAATAAAGTACAGAAGTAGTATCCGCTAAAAGTTCTTCAAGTATTTAGTGACTGCTTTGAAATGTTTAAAAGCAAATTAATCTTTTTAATATGGCTTTTAATTTGGGTTAACTTTCAATTCTCACTTCTCCAACCCATTGTCTGTGTTTTACTGTTTTTGTTCTGCTTTGCTTTTATGTCACATTTTTAATTAATTGTTATATTTTAACCTATTTTAAAGTCAGCTTTACTTCAAGGGAATTTCATTGGGATCACTGTTGATGTTTTATCTTGTTACTGTATTTATTTTAATATTGTTGTTGTGTTTTCTGTGCATGAAAGGTGCTCTACAAATAACATTTATTATTAAGTGTATTTATATATGTATGTTTTCTTTATGTTATGATGGTAATATATAGACATTTTTATTGATTGGGATAAACCCCTTGAGATGCACCATCTCGTTTTCAAGGGGGTCCCGTAATGAGAGGTTCATTTCTCCCCCCACAGACTGGCCCAGGAGCTGGACACCAAGGTCATCGTATTTGACCACTTTGGTAAAAATATCCCAAAGACCCACAAGATGAGCCCTGATGCTTTCATACAGGTGGCGCTTCAGCTGGCTTACTACAGGTGAGAGGCTGGGAAGACTTAGATAAGTGGTTTTTATAGAGACTTTTAACGCTAAGCTAACCAGAGAGCTTCATGTAAATTCATCTTTATCATGTACGCTGCAATAAGGAAGATTGTGTCCTTGACTGAGATGTAATAGATTCAAGTTTTGAGGTACATTCAGAATCAGAATACCTTTGTTCGTCCCACAGAGAGGACATTTCCATTTGTTACAGCAGAAAAGAGCCACAGACAGCTTAATGTTACCTAGTCTGTGGATGCTTTTAGAAAAGGCCTAACATAGCATCTTTTTAGAATAGCCTTTTGCTAGATCTTTAAAAACCCCACTTGTTGCCATGCCGGCCTAAACGTCACTGTTTTTATTCCGTTGTTTACTTTATTAAATATATATATTTGTTGTTGTTTGGTTTCAACCATTTTACTCTGTAGCACTTTGAGTTTTGTTAACCCAAATATTATTATTATTAGCAGGGTTCGCACGGTCATTAAAAACCTGGAAAAGTCATGGAAATTCAAAATGCAAATTCCAGGCCCTGGAAAAGTTTTGGAAAACAATATTTTTCCCAAAGTTTTGGAAAAGTCATGGAAATGTAACTAAAGTTGCATCAAATATAATTTATATTTTATCTAATCGCCGAAATAGTAATACTATAATGATAATACATACTCTATCGTATAGTAATGAAACGTAGGCATTTAACTGTTGCGGTAATTCTCTGGTGAGAGATGTTTACAATCACGCCCTCTAGTGGCTTTAGCCTGTCGGAGCTAGTAAGCCTACTATTTGATATAAGTTATTTCATATGCAGACCTTATTTTCCTGTTCCACGTTAAAATAAACAATTTGCAGTGGTACCGCTGAGAAAGAGATTTGTTTTGGTCATGGAAAATGAGGTAAAGGTCATGGAGAAATCATGGAAAATTAGGTAAAGGTCATGGAGAAGTCATGGAGAAGTCATGGAAAATGAGGTAAAGGTCATGGAAAATGAGGTAAAGGTCATGGAGAAGTCATGGAAAATGAGGTAAAGGTCATGGAGAAGTCATGGAAAATGAGGTAAAGGTCATGGAGAAGTCATGGAGAATCATTGGTGAAAAAGTGTATGAACCCTGTATTAGTCTAGTAGCCACCAGTCAGTTTTTGCACACTGCTCTGGTCTTCTCTCTCAGGATGAACCAGCGCTGCTGTGCCACGTACGAGAGCGCCTCCCTGCGTATGTTCAGATTCGGCCGCACAGACACAATCAGATCTGCTTCGAGCGCCTCCGCTGCCTTCGTCAAGGCCTTTGATGACCTCAGCAAACAGGTGTGATTAAAAGGGACATTTGTATGGGATGTATTTGTATTGACGCGGTACACCAGCTGGTTCATAGGGAACTCTGTCAGTCACTTCTTCACAGGCAGCAAATCATCTGTCCTCTGATTGGTGCTCATGTTAAAAACAGTTTTAAACATACATATAGTAATGGAGCTGGGTAATAAAAAGCAAAGTCTGTGTCAGTCTAAGTTACAATGGCAGTATAAAAACTAAAGAAAGCGCTTTTCTGCCAGAGACAAAACGCTTTATGGGCACGTCCCCAAATGAGTATAGATTCTTCTTCTAGGAAACAATTCTACGTTGAGGAGAAACAGTTTGTGTTGTAATGTTTCCCGCCTTTTCCTGTTTTCACCAGAACACAGAGAAGGTGGATCTAATGGAGAAAGCTGTTCATGCTCACAGGGCGTATACTAACATGGTGAGTATTCACAGCATGAACAAAGTCAACACGTCTAGTAATAATTGTCAACAAAGCTCAAACTTACAGTGAATGTTTCCTACTGAGAAGCACGGTGTGTGTCAACGCTTAATATATCTTCTTCCTTTGTGCCATCGAGAGGCATTGTTTTACAAAGAACCTGAGGCACATGTTCCTTCGTTACCATGAACACACACTGTAGTTTATTTAGACTCAACCCCATGCACACAATCCTGCTGCCCAAATACTCACCTAAACACCACCAACTCCCCCAAAACACAAGTACTATTTTGTCTTGTTTGAGGCACTTTCAATACTTACTTATACTTATAATTACAACAACCTACTGCTTGGGTAAACACTGTATTATTGAATTTGTACGTCTAGCTCCTGCAACAAGGAAGATACAGAATAAAGCATGTCTAGTTAATAAGTAGTTAACATCTGGTGACTAACATCCTTCTCTCCATCAGGCGATCAGCGGCCAGGCCATCGACAGACACCTGCTGGGCCTTAAGATGATCGCTCTGGAGGAGAAAGTCTCCGTCCCTGAGATCTACACGGACCCCGCCTACTCCAAAGCCTTAGAGTACAAACTCTCTACAAGTCAGGTATGGACCAGCGCTGTGAACCGCCACTACTTACCCCCTAATCCCACCAGGAGCGTCTGCGCTGCGGCTGCGGCGTTTTTAGCGATCGCGGCCACTCTAGTCAATGGGTGCTATTCCACCAGACCCGCTGCGCCGCGGCTCGAAGCGTCCCAGAAGCTCCTCGCCGCAAGGGATTTCTAAAATATAGGATGAATCCTATTTTTGACGCGGCGCAGCGCAGCGGGTCTGGTGGAATACTGCGAGGCTGCACACACGACACTCCGCTTCCGCAACGTTTTGAAACGCGCCTGGTGGGTTATGACGCAGGAGGAGGTCGCAGCGCAGACGCTTCCAGTGGGATCAGGGGGTGAACGGCGCATAGATGTGTTCCTAAGACTTAAAGGGCCCCTATTATACTGTCATATATTGTATTATATTATATTATAATATTATCGGGGACAGAGCCTTCTCTGTGGCAGCCCCGAAGCTCTGGAACTCCCTCCCCCAATACCTCCGTGAGTCTGAGTCCCTCACCCTGTTCCAGTCCCGCCTCAAAACTCACCTCTTCAACTCTGTATCCATAAGCCCCCCCCCCCCCCCCCCCCCTCAACCAACTTCCTCCTGACTGCTTTTCTGTTTTGTTTTGTTTCTTTTTGTTTTTGTTTTGTTTGTCTACCCTCCCTCCCAAATGTAAAGCGTCTTTGGGTTCAAGAAAAGCGCTATAGAAATAAAATGTATTATTATACTGTTTTTCATGAATATATTATAGACCTCAGATCTATAGAAAACATGTCTCTGAAGTGGTCCTGAGGGTTTTTATTTCATTTTTATTTGTTTTGTAAGGGAACGGTTTGTATGTTCTTTCACGTATGTGTTTTGTACCATGTGTTTCTGCTTACATTAAAAAAAATATGATCACATTAAAGCAGTTCTGAAGAGGTTTTGTTAAATGTGATTTGAACATGGGGAGGTCAGTGCATTCACAGATGTTTTTGGGGAGTGAGTTCCAGATGGAGAAGGCTAACTGCTAACACTACATTCTCATGTCTTCGCAAGGTACCGTCAAAGACCGACTGTGTGATGTGCTTCGGCCCGGTTTCACCCAGCGGATACGGCGTGTGCTACAACCCCATGGACGATCACATCAACTTCGCAGTGTCCTCTTTCAACAGCTGTTCAGAAACTAACGCAGCACATCTGGCCCGCGCTGTGGAAGCAGCTCTGCAGGACATGAGGAAACTGCTGGAGCAAACGCCCAGAGCCAAACTGTGAAGCAGGACTTTAATAACCTGTGAAGTGAAATGGATCTGTGGCAGGACGTCCAAGCTACAGTATTCTCCTGATTTGATCGATTATGCACTTTAAATAATGTGTGATTACTGATTTGTAACGACTGGCAGGCAGGTGCTGTTCCTCTGCTGGTACAATGCACACTAATCATAATGATGGACAATCGATTTACAGCCCGTTCTGTTTCAAAGTGTAACACTGATTAACACAAATGAACCTGTGGATGGATTTTCTTTAAATCCTTTTAATATCAACAAAAACCTGATGAGATGAAACTCAGTTATTCATTATTTTTACATGACACACTCTGGGTTGTGCCTCTGTGCCTTAAATGTACACTGTTTGATAACTCAGGGGACATGTCTGCTCTAACATAACTTTGCTAAGTCTTATATTTACAGTCCAAGGATTTTATAAAGTTCATAACTTCTTCACTCTATTAATAATCATGGCTTTCTAAGATCACACAACGAATGGTGTTGTATCATCACTCATGAAGTCTTGTGGCTGCCATAAACATGTCTTCACTGAGCATTGATACTCAGAACATGCAGTTTATTAATCCATGGTTTTATTTAATGATTGTATTAATCTGTGCCCTGTGATTTCCACATGTTCTACCATACGACAGCCAGTGGTGTATTCTGCTTAATGTCTCCCACCGTGTCTTTTCCAAACAAGGAAGTGACACAATTCAGAATTTAATCAGAAAACATTTGAATTTAAACAACTTTGAAGTGTTTATATTGATGTAAGATGATGTTGTGATGCGCCAGTTATCCGTGTGTAAACTTCAATAAGATCTCTGTATCTATGGGAGGGGTGTGTCTTCATGTAATAGACTATGTTGGCCAGTCAGCATTTCATCATGTGTTTGTGATATTCTGCATACAGTAGTAATGGAAGAGATGAAATGATTCTGTGCAGAAGTGATGCTAATCATATTGGGAGGACAGTCTAGCAGGAAACATGCATAATAACATGAAGCACTGTGTTTGATTGACTTGTTCAACACTTGAAATACATTGTTTTCAAAAACACTTATGACTGATTTTTCCTTACAGAAGCATTTTTTCTGAGTTTCAATGTAGATTTACATTTCAGCACGATCTTAAAACACATTTTGGATAAGAGCAGGAACAATGAACAGTGAATGTTTGGTTATTTTAGGTCCACTCCACTTCATTAAACGCAGGGAGAAAAAGTGAAAGTAGTTCAGCTCACATTTCAGGCCTCCAGGAACCATGTTGAGTCCCTTATTGTTTCACCGTGACAGTTTTTTATGTAACACTATGATGTGGGCAATGTAATACACTGCAAGAAAGATCAGTATATATTTTAAGCAGTTGTATTGTCTCATTAGTTTCTTAATCATTTGTAATAGCGAGTGACTTACAGGCTATCCATTCAGAAACATAGTTAACTCACTATGAAGTTATTTCATAAATGATGCCAAAGTTAAGATGAAGTTATTACAGTTAGAGGCGGAGACCCCTCCTTTACTCCTCACCTGAGAGATTTGATCCAGGAGAAGAAAATACAAGTTGAACTGGGAGACAATTCAAGTGTCAACAAAACACATCTCTGTTCATCCTATTTCAAACTCAAAATGAGAACAAAGGTCTGATTGTGTGTTGATATGTTTTGATAGGAGTGTGGATATGTTTTGCAGTGGAGAGCAGGAAGGCTTGGCTTGTGGTAAAGAAGTGAAAGTAAAAGTAAAAACCTGAGAAGTGCTGACACTCCGCCGCTTGACTTCTGAGGGCTTTAGTTGAAGGTTTTGATCCCCGTGTTCACCCTCTGCTCTCTGAGAACATGCTGCACTCCGCGAAGCCCTGTGAGATTCAGACTGGAGGATTCTGCTTCGAGAACACCCGCAGGTAAACCAACAACTATTGTCCCTTTGTTACTGTCACTGCTAAAATGGTGGAGGGAATACTGAGTGACTCGAATCTACCATGATCTGTGCACATGTAGCTCTGCCTTTACCCTCTCTATACAACCCAGAGGTGGGAAGTAGTGGAGTACAAATACTTCGTTACTGTACTTAAGTACATTTTTCTGGTATCAGTACTTTAATCCACTACTTATTTTACTGACGACTTTTTACTTTTACTTCTTACATGTTGAACTCAAATACCTGTACTTTCTACTTCTTACATGTTGAACTCAAATACCTGTACTTTCGACTTCTTACATTTTGAACACAAATACCTGTACTTTCTACTTCTTACATGTTGAACACAAATACCTGTACTTTCTACTTCTTACATGTTGAACTCAAATACCTGTACTTTCTACTTCTTACATGTTGAACACAAATACCTGTACTTTCTACTTCTTACATGTTGAACACAAATACCTGTACTTTCTACTTCTTACATGTTGAACACAAATACCTGTACTTTCTACTTCTTACATGTTGAACTCAAATACCTGTACTTTCTACTTCTTGTTGAACCCAAATACCTGTACTTTCTACTTCTTACATGTTGAACACAAATACCTGTACTTTCTACTTCTTACATGTTGAACACAAATACCTGTACTTTCTACTTCTTACATGTTGAACACAAATACCTGTACTTTCTACTTCTTACATGTTGAACTCAAATACCTGTACTTTCTACTTCTTACATGTTGAACTCAAATACCTGTACTTTCTACTTCTTACATGTTGAACTCAAATACCTGTACTTTCTACTTCTTGTTGAACCCAAATACCTGTACTTTCTACTTCTTACATGTTGAACACAAATACCTGTACTTTCTACTTCTTACATGTTGAACACAAATACCTGTACTTTTCTACTTCTTACATGTTGAACACAAATACCTGTACTTTCTACTTCTTACATGTTGAACTCAAATACCTGTACTTTCTACTTCTTACATGTTGAACTCAAATACCTGTACTTTCTACTTCTCACATGTTGAACTCAAATACCTGTACTTTCTACTTCTTACATGTTGAACTCAAATACCTGTACTTTCTACTTCTTACCTGTTGAAACACAAATACTTGTACTTTCTACTTCTCTCATTTTCCAAACAGCTGGTTCCTTTAGTCTGAATGTGTGTTTGGTGCGTGATCATTATTCTTTAGAGTCATTGCGTGCCTATTGATTTGAACACGATCCGTGTATCCATCATTTCCTGGTCTTCTCTAAAGAAGAGGGACCAATGGAAACGTTGTCATGTTGCCGTTGTTCAGCATGGAAACATTCATTAGCTAACAATGACATTATTGTTCTATTAATATAAAGGGAGGTCAGGTACTCTTTAAAACAGCTGCTAGTTATGGGTACTTTTTACTGAAGTACATTTCAAAGCCTCTTTACTTTGACTTGAGCAAAGAAGTTTAGTCAGTACTTCTACTTTTACCAGAGTATTTTTAAACAGGAGTATCTGTACTTCTACTTGAGTAAAGGATGTGTGTACTTTTGCCATCTCTGTCTAAACCTCTATCACTGGTACACTGAAGGAGTTGATAGGAGTCTGTCTCATTCATGTTTTCCAGGAATGCAGTTCTGGAGTCCAGCTTGTCAGAGTCCGGATACAAAGCTCCAGGCGCCAGAAAGACCGGGACCACCATAGCTGGGATAGTTTTCAAGGTGAGGGTCTGCATTCAGTGTGGACCGGAAACTGCCACTACAACGTACATTATGGTATTTTTGGAAATATGATGACTTTGCTGTAGGGGAAACTGGGGAGGGTTGCAACACTTCTTCGTCTACTTGTTACCCATGCCATTTTAAAGATGATTTATGAATATCCTTCACGATATTTATTAAAATGGACGAAGACAGATGTAATATTTCATTTCATTCAGCTAACACTATAAGGAAACGACAGTAAGTTCAATCAACCATGAAGATACAAACTCAAGAAAACAGGAATCCTGCAGGCATTGGCTTGTGCTGCATACAGGAAAGAGATTTGTGTTATCGGCCATCAGGAATACTTTCAACATATTCAAAATAAATGTTTCCTCATTACATTTTTCACCTGAAACAATTCTTCCGATGGGGATGAAGCAAGTATCTCTGACTTTACCTGTAAGAAACTAACATGTATGTTACAGGTTGCTGCTCTTGGTCGCTTTGTACGTCGGCAGCACACAGCAAGAATGTGAAATCTTGCCAAGTATATTAGGGCTGCACGATTTGGGGAAATAATCTAATTGCGATTTTCCTGACAGATATTGCGATTCGATTTGCGATATTTGTTTTTAAGCGACCCAACGGAAGTTTATTGTAAAATGCGGCCATATCTCCGGCTAGGAAGGTCGCATCAACGTGCTCCCGTCTCTAGCACCCCCACAGCCCGAGCTACGAGTGAAAGAACTAAACTTACATGAAACTTCCGTTGGGTTGCTTTAAAGTCGAGCTTCAGTTTAAGATTCACCCTGTAATAGAAACATGTGATGGAGCATTACTAACCTGACCCAGATGCTTTGTTTCACCAAACCATCTAAAGCTCCATTAGAAGACATTTGGAAAGGTATTTCAAAAATACTTGGTAGGTAATTGGATCAATCTGTCTATCACCTTCTATCATGGGCCACTTCTGATTGGTTAACAATGGCTGGTACATGTGGAGCACAGCACTTCTGATTGGTTAACAATGGCTGGTACATGTGGAGCACAGCACTTCTGATTGGTGTGGATGACTGACACACAAGAAGAACAATACATTTTTTTATTTAAAAACAAAAAAGAATCGCATGCTTTGCGATTTGATAATTGCGTCATTTAAAATCGCGATTTCAATTTAAAATCGATTAGTCGTTCAGCCCTAAAGTATATTAGTCTAATATCTAGTCAGAATATATGTTTACACTTGATATAAGACCTAATAACTCAAGTCCTTTTTTTAGACAATTCATCTTAAGCTCTCTTAAAAACATTTTATTTTATAGGAAAGTCACGAACTAACATCAGAAAACGTCTGAACGTTTCTGCCTTTTTTGTAACAAATTCCCTAATTCTGTTACATATAATAATTAAATATAGTTCAAAATAAGTTTTCCCAGCTAATTACAAGATCTGATTTATCTAACTGAAGCCATTTTGTACTTGTTCTATTGGCAGATTTGTTCACTTATTACAAGCTGTTAGAAAACTCTCACTGGTCCCCGGTTTGAGCTTCAACCTCAGGATCCATGAATCTGTGATCCTCTCCAGAATGGAAGGAGTCGTCACATACAGAGCATCAACTAGTTCCTTCAGTGTCCTTCACATGCTGATATCCAAGAGAGGGAGTCACACAGTCACAAGATGGAGGAATAGAAAGCAGTATTCAATGTTTACTTCAGATTAGCTCCACGTCAGAAATGAGCATGCTTGATGTCTCTCTCCATAGAGGCTGAATCATCATGTTAATCACATAGCTATCATCTGCCTCAAACAGTCCTGATGCTCTTCTAGGTAATCACACATCCTGTCATGTTCACAGCTACAGTTGGGATACCTTTGTCATCACGTTACTCTCATATTGGAAGAGGACGTTCAGAATGTTCCCAACACAAACACACCTTGTTTTTATTATATTTCTACCTGTTTTTGGAGCAGCATTTTTCACTCTTGATATGAGCCAGCTGACTCTCTCTCTCCTCTCTGTCAGGATGGAGTGATCCTGGGAGCTGACACCCGGGCTACAGACGACATGGTGGTGGCAGATAAAAACTGCATGAAGATCCACTTCATCGCTCCTAACATCTAGTGAGTAGAGCCACCGTTTACTGAGACAACACACAGGCCAGTTCTACCCTAACCAGAGAGGGCAAAAGTACACACATCCTTTACTCAAGTAGAAGTACAGATACTCATGTTTAAAAATACTCTGGTAAAAGTAGAAGTACTGACTAAACTTCTTTACTCAAGTGAAAGTAAAGAGGCTTTGAAATGTACTTCAGTAAAAAGTACCCATAACTAGCAGCTGTTTTAAAGAGTACCTGACCTCCCTTTATATTAATAGAACAATAATGTCATTGTTAGCTAATGAATGTTTCCATGCTGAACAACGGCAACATGACAAC